AGACGACGGAGAGTCAAAGTTGATGCCCCTGAATATGATGGAAAGTTGGACCCTAATATCTTCACAGATTGGTTGGATAACATGGAGGACTATTTTGATTGGTATGGCATGTCTGACATAGAGCGTCTTCGTTTTGCCAAGATGAAGTTAATAGGATCCGCCAAGAAATATTGGCAGAGTGTCCAACGCAACTTAGGGCGTCTAGGTGAACCACCCATCACTCAGTGGGCAGTCATGAAGCAGAAGTTGAAGGAAAAAGACCTCCCCACCTACTATAGGAGTCAATTGGTTGAACAGTTGTTAAATCTTAGGCAATCGACTGCTAGTGTGTCTGACTATTTGGCTCGATTTGAAGAGCTTATGCTTAGGTGTGAAATTGATGAAGAGCCATTCATTACAGTCAGTAGGTTCGTCAATGGACTGAGGGTAGACAGACAGAGGGAGGTTCACTTTACAATCCTGAATCTTTAGAGGAGGCCTATCACAAGGCCTTAGAGATAAAAAAGTACCTTAGGTCCCCCTCTCTTCGACGTGTGACGTCACAGGCAGGAGAGTCACGTCAGTCTAGATCCGTCTCTCAGTCAGCCTCTAGGGGTAGCACTGCGAGGAATAGAGAGTCCATTTCCTATAATCCTCGTCCTAGTGGTTCCTCTAGTGAGTCCCGTTCTAATGGTTCTTCCATTCCGTGTCATCACTGTCATAATAGGGGTCACATAGCTGCTCGTTGTCCTCAACGTGCCCTAGCCCTAGAACATGAGTGAGGCGACCTCATTAAAGAGAGGATCAAGTTGTGGACCCATTAGACTCTTTTGGGGATGAGGATGAGATGGGAGATGCTCTTGAGGTTGATGATCACCATGTCAATGTTGTGAGGTGTATTTTGTCTACAGCTGTTGACAATGATGAGTGGAAGCGCACAAAGATTTTCCACACCTACATTAAATGTGGTGAGAGAACTTGCAAATTGGTCATTGACGGGGGAAGCACCATGAATGTGGTCTCTAAGTCCGCTATAGCTAGATTGAACCTTAAGGTAGAGCCACACCCTCAGCCTTTTAGGGTAGCCTGGGTAGATAAGACAACCTTACCTGTCACTGAGAGGTGTCTTGTCCCAATCCATTTAGGTGACTATAAGGATGAGGTTTCTTATGATGTCTTACCATGGATGTCACTCATATCCTTAACGGACGCCCTTGGCTTTATGACCTTGATGTGACTAACCATGGTAGGGAGAATACCTATGTCTTTAAGTATAAGGGCAAGAACATTATCTTGACACCTGCCAAGCCCTCAGGAAAAGACAAGAGGCCCAAGCGTAGATCTTCCCCTCAGGTTCCCCTTAGGAAAAGTCCTCACATTTTGAGTCATAGAGCCTTCGAAAGGGAAGGGCAGAGGAGTAGACGCTGGTTAGCTATTGTAGCGAGGGAGACTCTTCCAGATTCCACTGAGTCTAAGTATGATTTCCCTCCCGAGGTACGTAAGTTGTTAGAGGAGTTCCTTGATGTCATGCCTGATGAGCTTCCTAGTGAATTACCACCCATGAGGGATATCCAGCATGCTATTGATTTAGTTCCTGGATCTCAATTGCCTAACCTTCCACATTATAGGATGAACCCTAAGGAGCGTGCTGAGTGAAATAGGCAAGTGGAAGAGCTTCTAGCGAAAGGTTTTGTTCGATATAGTCTTAGTCCTTGTGCTGTACCTGCCCTATTGACACCTAAGAAGGATGGATCTTGGAGGATGTGTGTAGATAGTAGAGCCATCAACAAAATCACCGTCAAGTATAGGTTTCCGGCTTGAGGATATGTTAGATTTGTTGGCTGGTTCTAGTTGGTTCTCCAAGATAGACTTGCGCAGTGGTTACCACCAAATTCGTATTAGGCCAGGAGATGAATGGAAAACCGCCTTTAAGACCCAAGATGGATTGTATGAATGGTTAGTCATGCCCTTTGGATTGTCCAATGCTCCCAGTACCTTTATGAGGGTTATGACCCAACCCATGTCTTGCACCCTTTCATAGGCAAATTCTGAGTTTGATGACATCCTGGTTTATAGTCAGTCTACAGAGGAGCACTTAGATCATCTTCGTCAGGTTTTCATGACTCTTAGGGTAGCAAAACTGTATGTCAACCTTCAGAAGTGTACCTTTATGCAATCTCAAGTGCTTTTCTTAGGCTTCATTCTTTCTGCGCAAGGTATTGCAGCCGACCCTGAAAAGGTTAGGGCCATTAGGGAGTGGCCAGAACCCTCAGTCTATCTCTGAGGTTCGTAGTTTCCATGGTTTAGCCACTTTCTGTAGGAGATTCATTAGAGGGTTAGTACTATTATGGCTCCCATAACAGATTGTTTAAAGAAAGGGGAGTTTCAATGGACTACTGTGGCTGCTAGGGCTTTTAGTGATATTAAGCAAAAGATGACTGAAGCACCTGTTTTGAGGCATCCTGATTTGAGTCAAGTTTTTGAGGTTGCTTGTGATGCATCTGGAATAGGAAGAGGGGGTGTCTTAAGTCAGGAAGGGCATCCCATAGCATTCTTTAGTGAAAAACTCAATGAGGCTAAACAGAAGTCTTATACATATGATAAGGAGTTTGATGCTGTGGTCCAGTCCCTTCGCCATTGGAGGAATTATTACCTCAAGAGTTTGTTCTGTTTTCCGACCACCAAGCATTGAGATATCTGCACTCTCAAAAGAAATGAAATTCTAGGGTGGGTTGAGTTCATTAACGAGTACTCTTTTGTTCTCAAACATCGTTCTGGTGTAGAGAATAAGGTAGCTGGTGCTCTTAGTAGGGTACTTACCGTCCTTCAGATGATGAGTGCACAGGTGATAGGTTTTGATAGGATGAAGGATGAGTATTCTACTTGTCCTGATTTTGGTCTCATTTATCAGGAGGTTAGGGATGGTAACCGTAGAGACTATGTTGACTTTGTTATTCGTGAGGGTTATCTGTTTAGAGCGACTAAGTTATGCATTCCTCGTACGTCACTTAGAGATTCTCGTCTTTGGGAAATGCATGCAGGTGGACTTGCTGGTCATTTTGGAAGGGATAAGACTCTCGCTCTATTGGATAGGTTTTCTAAGATGGCACATTTCTTTCCTTGTAGTAAAACAACCGATGCTTCACATGTGGCTAAATTGTTCTTTAGAGAGGTTGTTAAACTGCATGGTTTACCTTCCTCCATAGTGTCTGATAGGGATGTTCAGTTTGTGAGTGACTTTTGGAATGCACGGGCTCTTTCTGGTAGACCTGGACATGTTCCATGACGCGAAATCTCTTATCATCTAATAGCTCTAATTGTGGGGATATCTAAAAAAGAAGCTCTCTCTCATCCACTTTGAGCTCAATAAACAGCAGCTGGGCTGGAAGAGCGTCAATCGGTCCATCTTTCGCTTCCAAAGTCTTCGTCTTTGCCCATTTTTCACTTCTCTTCTGCATACGACTTTCCACTGGTTCCATTCCTGATGACTTCTTTCTCCGAATGAAGGAAGAAGTCAGTGAGAAAGGGCCTGAGTCAATCAGTCGTAGGTCAATCCATCCAGGAAGACCTCAGGATTTGTATCCTGATTGGTTCTTGCACATGCTTGCTTTCCAACATGAGCTTCTTCTGAGCCCTCAACATGACAAATGAAGCCAATCTTCTTGGTTGGTACGGACCAGCTCGGGGCTTGCTTTCGTAGGGTCCAAATGGCGTCCGTGTAGTGCATCATTTTCACTCACTCTCTTTTTCGGGCCCCTCCGTGAACATAGGAATTGGATCGATGACTCACTCTCTCTTGAATGAGATGTCAAACTGGTCCTCAGAGCCCCTCTCTTTTGGATGACTGATCAACACCTGGTACTGACGAGCTACCCCCTGACGAAAGCACAGACCTATCTCCGGCTGACTCTCCTGGTCACCGAAAGACAGACGAGGGCTTCTCTGACCTCATTCACCCCTTTCTGTAGGTCAGGATCAAGAGGATTGGTTGGGTGACTGGAAGCTGACTGATGAGCTCGAAAGAAGAAGGCAACGAATTCTGACATATTGATTAGGCTGGCCCTCTCTTGGTTGACCGAAGGCCTGACTTCTCTTCTCGAGCTCATGGACTCTGTTCATGGAGGGTCCTTCGCGTCACTCTACTCTTTGTTTTCCAGGTAGGGATGCCCATTGTTCCCTGCTCTAACTCCTCCGATTTCCCTTTGCTTTCTTTCTTACTTATCGTAGGTGCCCAGTCTCAACGTCACTTCCCAAACCAAAACCGCCTTTCTCAGATCTATGAAAGGTGAAAGGTTGAAGGTCCACAACAGGTAACATAAATGAACAGGTTTCTTTTCTATTCGAGCTGCTGCGGGCCGGAGCTCGTATGGATACATTACTTCATTGTTCTATGAGGCCTTGCACTAAGCCCATACTCGGATAGGGTCGCGAAGTGCAAAGATCCGGTCTTTGACAACCGTCGTAAGGACAGGACAAGAAAACCTATACTTATGTGTGTTCGACACTATAACTATAGGTGGGACCAGTTGTAAGATGATCGCCGAGTGGCGTTCTGCTCGATTAGGCGAATGCGAGTGAGGGATAAGCTTTCCCCGTTCGCTAGGAGGGAAACTAAGGAAGAGTTCGGGCAGAAATAGATGGTGAAAACCCCTTTTCTATTAGATTAAGAAAGCGCGCTCCTTGCATGACTCCATATCATTCATTATTTTCGCGAAAGCGACAACGTGTCACCCTAACCTTTAAATCGAGAAAGGGGAATGCGTTACCTAATAATGAGCAATGCTGGTAAGAGCAAATGGTTCCTAACCTCATCAAAATCAGAGTACGGCATATCCGACTATCCGGCAACACGCTTGGATAAGTAAGGCGATGAACCATACCTCTATCTCTAGGCGCTATGATGTCTTATTATGTAGATCATGTCTTGCTTGAGGGTTCCAAACCTTTATTGAAGAAAGAGCTCTTGCCTCCAACTCAAAAGAGAACAGAACGTTCCTTCCGCAACGCAAGGCCGATATCTTTCGTAGCAGCCAAGGATGAGTTCGATCCATTAGGTTCTTCCATTTTTTCAGAAAAGAAACGAGAGACAAGAAAACATCTTTGATTACGATTAAAAGGAACAATCTCAAATAGACCAAGATCCAATTTCGGGTCATTTCTTGGTGAACATGATCTGCCATAATCTCTTCGATCCCTTCATTTATGTGCCAGAATAAAGAGAGATTTGGTAGGAAAGTGGAAGACACTTTTTTGTATATGATAATCAAAGGGAGTGGGAAAGCTGCAGTAATTCTTTGGAAAAGCCCGATTCTCTTTGTCTTCGAGCTTTCATTTTTTAATCCACTCTTTCGTTCCTTCATATACCTCCCCACCAATAGATAGAGACAAATGGGAATAACCAAACCACGTCTACAAAATGCCAGTACCATGCAGCTGCTTCAAAGCCAACGTGATGCTCCTTCGTCAGATGACCAAGATATTGCCGAATACCACATATGATCAAGAAAAGAGTACCTATAATCACATGAAAACCATGAAAGCCAGTTGCTAAGAAAAAGGTAGAACCATAAATACTATCCGAAATAGTGAAGGGTGCTTGATAATATTCCATTCCTTGAAAGCCAGTGAATACTAGAGCAAGTAAAACGGTAGCTACTAAAGCATAAACTGCTCGTTTTTCCTTCCCCGCGAGTATAGCATGATGAGCCCAAGTTACGGCAGCTCCGGATGAAGGGAGAATAGGGGTATTAAGAAAAGGGATTTCCCAAGGATCTAAAACCCCAATCCCTTTTGGGGGCCAAATACCTCCGATCTCTACCGCAGGTGCCAAAGAAGAATGAGAAGAAGCCCAAAAAAGAGCAAAAAAGAACATAACCTCCGATACGATGAACGGAATAAAACCATATCGAAGTCCTAATTGTACTACTTTGGTATGATGTCCTTCCAACGTGGATTCACGTAGAACATCGCGCCACCATACGAACATGGTATATAGGAGAAATATGAGGCCCAAACTGAGAAGTGTTGCACCCCCTTGAAATGAGTGCATGTACATCACACCTCCTACGGTGGTTGCCAAAGCTCCGAGTGAACCCGAAATAGGCCATGGACTTGGATCTACCAAATGAGAAGAATGCCTCTGAGATTCAATCATAAACCACTTTGCCTCGGTTGTATGTAAACCCCCCCTTCACCCCCACCCCCTAAAGTGGTAAAGAAGGGCTCTTTGGGGTCAAATTAGCTTTCTATCTGACAGGACAAACAAATAGGAAGGGATGGTTCTTTCATTGCATTGATAGAAGTCAAAAAGATCTCTCTATTCCTTTGAGAAGAGAATCGTTGGTTTGACCGACGAACTACGTGGGAAAATTGACCTTCTTTCTTCGATTGGAATACGGATGAGATCAAAAAGGCCATCATTTATATCAAAGATAGCGGAGGAATCCTTGGCCGGGAGCAGCGCAGGACTGGAGCACTCAAGCGGATAAGGCTACTTTAGGCGCTTTCGGCGAGATCCTCAAGAATGTACCGGATCACATTGCGAATACTCATCTGTCCCTTGCCGTCGTGCCGTGCTGAAGAACATGCACGTGATAAGAGACGCTTGAGATTCGCCAGGTCCTTGCGTGTAGCAGAAGGAGAGTAGGCCTTTTTTTATATCGGAACTACTTTCTCAATGATTAGAAAAAGAAATTCCATAGCAGTTGGAAGTTTTCCGGATAGACGGAAAGGATTTGGCCTTCTCGTCTATCAGAGGAGCGATAAGTGTGGCCAACTCCTCTTTTTGAGCGTGAACCTCACTTTTCGACCTTTGGATTAAAAAGTCTTCAATGACCCGAGGGTCCGATTCATTGGATAGATCGAGCGGTTCACTGTCGGGACTCTGAGGGACATCGAAGACTTCGTTCAGTTCTAGGGGAGGGCTATCCGGTATATCGAATCTTTTTTCCGGACCGGATGGGCTGGGGGCCAACTAAATGATCATCCCCATTTCGGTCGAAGAGGCACTTTTTTCGCCCGGCACGCTTAGTGGCGCTTGGTTTTCGCCCGAGCTTGATGCGGAGTAAGCTCCTGACGGAGCCATCATTGTCTTCCCCCAGGTCTCGCTATCAAAAAGATTAGATCAAATTATAGCAACTAGGAGACCCCCCCCCCCACACACACCATCCGAGCCTATTTAATAGGAAGTAGAGAGACTTTCTGAGGATCATGGATTGGAGTTTGGCAAGAAGGAGATGAAAAGAATCTCCGATTAGTAGACAAATAAAAGATGGTCAAATATAAAGAAAAAGATCAAAAGAAAGAGGAATGGAATATACCATCGTTTTACTATTCTATGATTCCAAGTAAATAATGGGTAAAGCATCTTGTTTTTTTGTTTTCTTTCTACTTGCTTATGGGGACATTGATCCGAAGCGATCATACTACGGTCCGTGCGCTCTTTTTCTTCTCTACCATGACGAATCAATTTCTTGTTTGCCTAAATTTCCCTTTCCTTTGTCATTCCTTATCAGAGTTTCCTTGGCCGTGTGGAACATGGATTAGCATTATGTCATTCCTACAAGTGATCCCCCATTCAGGATTGGAAGAAGTGCTATATGAGGACTTCGAGATCAAATAGAATATGTTTCTTTCCATTTCTCGTGAGCCACTTATTTCTCCGAAACAAGAGATCAAAGTGATTTTCCTCCTTTTTTCCAATAAGTCGACGGCGTTACACCATTGGGATACTTCGAATAAACTAGAGTACATATAGGATACACCGGTGCTAAAACCTTTTCTCAAGATATCTTCCAAACTGTTGGGGTCGTTGCTCCGGATGTTGTTCCCCCGGTGTGAAAGCAGTTGGTTCCGTAGTTTGAGAATTCTGCTGATCCCAAGTACTCCATCTCCATCATTGCATATGGGAATATAGAAAGTAAAGAGGAAAAGGCATGACCAGAAGAATTGTGAAAAATAAGTGAATTTATCCAGTTGAGGCATTCTTGCTTTTTCTGAGAAAAATGATTCCCTACAGACAGCTTAACTTCGTCAAGCCTGTACGAGTAGTGAAGAACTATAGAGAGTTGTGGTTGGTTGTTGACCAACGGAAAGCATGGGAGAAAGAAAGTTGCACAAACAAAAGAGAAAAAGGAATCGCGGAACACAAACTCGATTTTCCATCTCTTGCAACATCCGATTCGTGCACAGACGATTCAATCTGTTGACTTCACTCCGCCTACTCCCCGCCTTAGCAAAGTGCTTCTTCCCCTCGTTCTTTTTTTCTTGGGCTTTCCATGCAATGCATGATTTTCCATCTTGTACCCACGGTGAAGTCGTGCTTTCCCCTCTTATTCAATTGATCTTCTTTGATATGATGAAATGAATCTACACCTCCCTCACTGTTTGCATGAGATTCCACTTATTTGATTTCATTTTAAGCCTTAGGTAGTTGCTTGACTTCCTCCAGCAGTTCCTTTCCTTGGTCTGTCGGAATGAAAAATGAAAGGAGACCCCCTGTAGGTGGCCTCTGACCTCTCTTGCTTCCAAGTGAGCACCCAGGTGAACCGTAGTGCCCAGGTCGTTCCCCTTTCTTTTTAAAGTCAATTATGCTTCGGTCTTGCTTTCTTTTCTTCATTAATCTCTCTTCACGCCCCCGCCTTTGTACAATTAGAATCCTAGCACTGAACTATGAGAGCTCTTTGTATACTTGCGTAAGAGGCTTTTTCCGTGATTCCAGTTAGGGACTCGGGTGCCCTTATTTCATATCTTTTTTGGTACTGCCCCATAAGAAGAAGAAGTAGGCTGGTCAAGTAGCCTTTTTGATGCATAAGAGAAGCTGGAGGGCTTCTTTTCTGCGCCCCAATCATTCTTCGTTTGTGGAGTCCTTTGAAAGCTTCTTTCATTGAATTCAAAGATCGAGGGCTGTGAAGCATGCTGGGAATGAGGTAAGGACCTCTTCTCTCTGACGTAGCCAAAGTGAGAACCATTCGACCGAGGTCGAGATCTAAGCCGGTCTATAGCACAGGTGCTGCAGTGAAAGATTCCGCCGTAGCTAGATGCCTTGAAGAAAGAGCAAAAAGACTCACTTTGGGTCCATGGCTCCAGTCAAAATCTCCCTTCCCTCCCTTTGAAGAAAGCCCTGATCGTAGACCACCCTTTGCCATTCTTTTTCCAATGAGGAGTCCGACCGATGAACCTTGGGAGCATCCCGGGCAAGATCTATGGCTTCAGCTGCGGCTAAGCGAGGCAGTACTCTGAGCCATATCCGAGACCATTAGCATGAGTTCCCCTCTCACCAAAACAATGAAGGCAAATGTTATGGCTCTATAGCTTCTTTTTGGATAGTTAGAAACTTTAACCAAGTATGGATGAGACATAGTCAGAGACATCTTGTTATGCATACAACTCCTTCGAACCTTGTTGCTGGCCTCGCCTTGAAAAAGTGAGCATGACATAGCCAGGAGGAAAGACAGCATCTGGGAAATGGCAGAAAGAATCGAAGAATGGAATCCTTTCCTTTTTGTTTGAAGTAAAGGCTTTTTATCGACGAATAAATAAGCTCTTTCTACTTTGCCCTAAAAGCTCGTCCTAAGGAAAGCAGTTTTCACTCGAGAAGATAGCTTAAGTTATAGTTCTCACAGCTAAAGCGATAGCAACTCATGAACGAAGTGCTCGACCATAGGGAACGAGCGGAATAAAAGTAGCGAGTTAAGGGTTAGGTAAGTAGCAGAAAACTTAGGTATCTTCTACCAGGGTGATAGACTTCCATTTTGACAATGGCACATAGCTGGAGCGCCCTTATATCTTCTATCCTCTTCTATTATGCCAAGCCTTTCTCGGCCAAATGATAGAGGCGAAGGAGATTCATTCGGGTTCTAAGCTAGCTGCCATCTAGAGATCTTCCTGCTTCATTTCCGGATAACTGAACTGAGAGGTGCCCAGAAATGCGGAGCCCTTAGACCGATTGATGTACTTGACTTCAGTCCGAGTACTGAAAGACGTTACTAAATCAACACCTGGTACTGACGAGCTACCCCTTTACCGAAGATGGTGGGGAAAGTCACTTCGTACCCTTCCCTAGTGAGTTAATAAGTTCAGGAGTAGCTGAGTTCTGACTTCTTACCGAGCTATGTGACTCTATACCCGAACGAAGGGAATTGAATACTTGAAAGGAGAAAGAGAAAGAGCTACATACTTCTTGTAATACCTGGAACGGACGAACGATAAGAAAGTCAAGTGTGAAGTTCAGTCTACCGGAGCTCATCTATTCTCTTAGTAAACGATATTCATTTCAATAGGAAGAGAGAAAGTGAGACAATCATTCTCATAGATAAGAGAGATTCGTTCTGCCCTTTGGTTTTCTAGTCAAGTGGGGTAGTCCTCTCCCAGGAGCTTAGCCTTGTGTGACCTGAAATGGGTCGGCGACAGCCGGGATACCAGAGGGCTAAAATCAAAATCTGACTTCAGAAGCAAAAGTCGAAACTGAAACTCTTCTTCTTTCAGTGGGGTGGTGGTCAATGTAGGTGCAAGCGGCATTTTTGGGTTCGATTCCCGTCGTTCGCCCATTAATCTGAATTTATATTAAATCCTAAATGGTATGGTAGATGCCCGGGTTTTTTCTATAATCTACCATTATACCCACAATGATCGGACATACTATCGCTATCCATAATGGAAGGGAACACTTGCCTGTTTATATAACAGATCGTATGGTAGGACATAAATTGGGAGAATTTTCACCTACTATAAATTTCCGCGGACATGCGCTAAATTATAATCAATCTCGTCGTTAATCAAATTCATTTTCATTTATATAGATTCATTAGTGAGAGGTGAACCTTATGATAAGGAAGAGAAAGAAGAAAGAATATACAAAAGTATACGCTTTAGGTCAACATATATGTATGTCTGCCCATAAAGCACGAAGAGTAATTGATCAGATTCGTGGACGTTCCTATGAGGAAACACTTATGATACTAGAACTCATGCCTTATCGAGCATGTTCTCCCATTTTTGAATTTCTTTATTCGGCAGCAGCAAACGCTAGTCACAATATGGGTTTCAACGAAAGGAGTTTAGTCGTTAGTAAAGCCGAAGTAAATGAGGGTACTACTTTGATCCAATTTAAACCTCGAGCCCGAGGACAGAGTTATCCGATAAAAAGACCCACTTGTCATATAACTATCGTATTGGCAGATACAACCGTATATGAAGAATATGTCATATCACACGATACATATAGTAGTGGAGGCTTATGGGACAAAAAAGAAATCCACTTGGTTTCAGACTGGGTACAACCCAAAGTCATCATTCTCTTTGGGTTGCACAACAAAAAAATCTTTCTGAGGGTTTACAAGAAGATCAAAAAATACGAGACTTTATCAAGAATTATGTAAAAAAAAAATGAGAATATCCTCGGGTGTCGAGGGACGTATAGAAATCAAAAAAAGAATCGATCTGATTCAGGTCAAAATATATATGGGATTCCCAAAATTCTTAATTGAAGAT